TATTGACTGAAGACTGTAGCAAAGGAACTTCAAATAGTTTGAGCATCTAAATTTCTTTACGAAGAAACGAACTCGGAATGTTTACATTGGCAGATTGATAGACCTAAAAAGCAACAAACGGTTTATCTGAAAGAAAAAAAAATCTTAAGGAAATTATGTTCTCATTCTATTTAATTTACCAAGAAGGGTAAATAATATTGCAGTGCTTCATATTTTAAGGAGCACATGAAAAACTCATCCAAAAAGAAGCAGGTTCCCGAAAAACTGACAACATGGATCAGAACAATACTGTGCTTTAGAATAATATTCAATAATAGATTTTTACAAGAAATATATACATATATTTTGGATATTCATGTGCTTGAACACAATTTTTGGAATGTTTGTGAAACTTCGAATGAAAGAAGTCGCTTCCTTTGCTGAGCATTTTCAACATGATTCATCTTCACAAAAACGTACCAGTGATGTCGTTTTTGTGAATACTATGGGAATGCCCAGTCATCGTAGCATTCAGGACAGAAAATAGTTCAATGTCCCACAGCTGATCAGCTGAGGACAACAGCAAAAGACTCTGTGGACATGCTTTCCAGAGCTTTTACATTTTCAACAGCCTGTGCTGTAAAAACATTAGCTCAGGAAGGGAAAAAAAATACTTCATGATCAACACATAAAGCCAGAATAAAGCTTACAAATCTGCTTACGCTGTGTTCTATTTGTAGTTTGAACTTGAAAATTCTGAATTCCAGAAACACCAACTGAACCAGTCGAAGTTGGACCTCCTCAGAAAATCTGAACATTTTTTAAGCCCTTATGATCCATATGGGCAGCTCCTCGCTTCAATAATATTAAGGTGAGGTGAAAAAAAGCTTGTTGTACAAGGCAGATTTGTAAGAGTGTGTCTAAAATCAGTGTTATATGTAATCCTTGCATCTCTTAACTGAACAAATTAAAAGAGGTGTTTCCATGTGGAACAGCTTAAAATGCTGTTCATAAGAGCTGCTGTGAACAGTGACTACTGGGGCATTGCCTTTTTGGAATCCCAACGTCTCACACTATTTTAATTAGGAATTAGGAACCTTTCTGAGGTAAAGTAATCTTGCTGCAAATATTTCCTATTAAAACAAGCACAATGAGGGTTAACTCGTGCTACATAATTATTGTGAACCACTATCAGAACATTTATTAAAATCATGTATAACTAAGCAAGTAAGAAACCAACTTTACATTCCAGTATTTGCTTCTTTCAGTTTCTAAAAACACAACTTCACCGTTTATTCAAAACAATTAAAATTTAGGGTTTGCCACAATTTCATTGTTTTTCATGCCAAAAAAGGTCATTGTTGCAAAATATTACCATGCGCCAACACAGCTTGAAAGTTATCTTGCATGAAATCTCCTTCTCCAGATGTTCACCCTTCATGCTGCATTCCTCGCACCTACATGAATGGGGTCAGACTCTACTCCAAGATCAGGTTTCTCCTCATTGGAAAACAACATCAAGGACACATGCACAAACACACACTAAGGTTCAAACATATAAAAACAGCAGCACAGAAACATGAACACCCACGCACTGCTCCATAGATTCACATGTATGGTAACTGTGTGTAAAATAGACACAGGGATCAAGCACAGAAGTTGTCCTCACATGTGTTAAGTCCAGGCAGGGCTTAAAAAAAATGAGGTGCAGAGAGGCTAGAAAACAGGTGGAGGAATCAACGGTGGGAAGCAGCAAGATGGACAGAATGTGTTATGCGCGCAAGTGTGTATGCACATGGCAAGATCGAGAGGTGCACAGCGTCTCAGTACGTTATATTCTACCATGTGTAGAACCCTGTCTTAGGTAAATGCTCTCCACAGAAGCTGAAAGCCTCGTTTGATGTCTTGACACTTCAAATGAGGAGGCCCCCCATCCACACAACTTTGATTTGCACATACAGGTGCGTCATGAGTAGAAAGCAATTCAGGAAAAGGCCCTTGACACGTTGCAAATGAACCAAAACGTGACTTAACAATGTTTGACAGATACAAACTGAGTAAGACAGAGTGAGGAAAAGTGACAGGAAAGAGGAAATAAAGAGGAGGACACTGACCAGCGTTTGCTTGTACCTCAGAGCCTTCCTGTCCGACGCATCTGCAGCCATTGACACACTGTCACTGACCCAAAAATAAACCCAGCCGCTCATGGGGAGTCTCAGGATTACCAGGAGTGCTCTGGACGTTCCCTCGCACACATGCACACACACAGAAAGGCACACATCCTCTCATCAGCATGTGCACCAACACATACACACTCTGTTACACACTCGCATTCGGACATGGTGTAAATTATCTCCGGCTGCGGTTACAGTAGCATTGGCTTTCCACAACGATATGGAATAGCCGGTGGTAGGAGGAGGGACTGGGGGTGCAGAATGTCTGAGTTCAAATATTTCCCTGATAATTACCAGAGTTTTTTTGTTTAACCTCATCAACCAGTGGACATTGCTTTCATCTTTCACCTAAGCTCCTTTAAAAACAGTGCACAAAAAAACTCTCCACTCTGACAGCCAAATGTATTACTACTTAGTAATAACTAAGAAATAAACAAATACTTTTTTTTAAACATATATATTTTTCGGATTCGGATTGCGTCTGCCATTTTGTGAATTTGTGCCATTACAGAAACAGCCAGTACGAATTGAAGTCAGTCACACTGAAAGTACTCAATGTTCTTCCTGTACCAGCCATAGATACCGGAAATCAGAGTGGAAGGCTTCATCATGGTGACTGTGTTACTTGTCAGGATTCCTGAGTTCAAACTAGAAAGCATAACATGGTAGTAATCGCCCAACAGCATTCCTAGATGAGTTTTGGTTCACATTTAAACATGCTTCTGATTTGTTTTTCATGAAAAATGCAAATGTCTTACCTTCTTATCCATTCTTTGAATTCCAAGATCAATTGCATCTGTGCTTTTTACAAATCTATTTGCTTAGAATCATTGTTTTATCCTTAAAGAAATTTTAATAAAATACATAAACTGTGTGTATTTAGGAGTTTAGTAAATTACTGGTCATTAGTAGCTCAAAGACTTAGCGGTGGTACTTTGCATTATTAAGAAACAAAGTAAACAAATTCCATTAAATAAAGAAGAACTTTTACCATCCACAGAGTCTGGTAAAAAGCTAGATGATTCCACCAAATGATATTAACACAGAGTCAGTGATTATAACCCATACAGTGGGTTATGGTCATGTGGTGAGACAGATTTAAAGTTGTGTGTCAACAGCATATTTGGATCTGAACAATACGCTCTAGAACAATGTCCTTTGGACAGATGAGACCAAAAGGTGATGTTTGACCATCATTCACAGCATCATAATGAAGCATCAGCACAGAAACAGCGGAAGGATCATGATTTAGGCTCGTTTCTGCCTCGGCATTTCACAGATAACGAGATGACCATCAACCTTTCCGTACACCAAAGTATTCTAGAGTCAAATTTCTGTGACAGACAAAACCTGACCACAACTAGAATGACCTGAACTTAATTAGGACTCAAGGCGGCATATTCTTGATGATGGCATTTGACAAAATGTAGCGTTTATTGCTTGTTTCATAATGGCTTATTGTGTTTTTATCGTGTAAAGCACTTTGAACTGCCTTGTTGCTGAAATTTACTAGCCAAATAAACTTGACTTGACTTGTATATAAGGAAAAACCTGCAACTTTATTGAACCAGAGCCTAGGAAAAAAAAAGTCCTCCAACAAGGATGTATCTCGTTGCAGCCAATGGTTGGCTGTACAACCCATTGAATCATAGGTACATTGAGTTGTAACCTGACCACATTTTTCTTCCATTAAAGTTTTGTTCAATCTTTAACTGATAAAACTCAGGTTTTGACTGAAGGGAGAGTTTTTATAAATATATATATATATATATATATATATATATATATATATATATATATATAAGAACCAAGCTATTTCTTTAGCAAAGATTATTTATCATGCATCATTTCTCATGACTGATGCAAATCAACGTGGCAGGAACATGACAGGTGAGCAAAAGGCCATATTTGCTAATGGGTGTGTGAGTGTACCGACTTGATTTTGGAACAAAGAGCTGGAAGTGACTCAGTAAGCAAGTGAAAAGTTCATTTGTGGTCATGCCTTCACCTTTAACAAAATTAATTAATTTCTCTCAATCCCTCTGATTCCTGCTCGGTAAGTCCAAATTAAATAACTTGGATGATAACTACTTTTAATAATATTGCAATATTATTAAAGTACTTTGGTGTAGAAATCATAAATAATGCTTCTGCATATCACAATGATAAATGTAAAGATATGTTGTCAATACTATCTAATTTTGAAGTGCAGGATAAATCTAGAGTCTATACCCAGGTTAGTAAATTAAAACTTGCAAACACTTTCTGGTTTAAACAAGGAAGAGTAGAGTACCCTAAAAAGTTTGGCTCTTCTTAATATGTTTCACATCTTGTTAAATTAAAACAAGTCAGATTATTTAACTTATTTTATGTGAGAGGCCAACACAAACCCATAGTTGTCATTAGGTGGTAAAAATTATTTACTTTGTGTTTAGCTGTGTTTATACTGTGACTACACACAATTTTTAAATCACTAACTGGGATCTAAATTACAAACCACTTTGCTTTGGATTATTAAATTATTTCAAAATACATTTCAGTTTGGAGAAAAAAAGTCAAAAAGCTAGATGAATGAGAATCATTGCAACGCACCTGAGCTTCATTCTAAATATTTTAACATTCTAATAATGCCCATAATTCAGGTTTTAGTTTAAAACAACAGATTAAAACAGCAGGCTAAAAACAGCAGAGATGATGTGACACCAGGTGAAGCCAGGTATTAATAATGTATTCAAAATGCTAAGTACTCTCGATTTGAATTTTTCCTACCACACACATGCAATGGATGACATACAGAAAATACAACACAGCCTAACGACACACTGCATGCAGGCGCTGAGGGCGCTGGGCGGGATGTGGGTGTGGAAAACCTGAGAGAAAAAGTGAAGTGGAAGGACAAGTGAGAGAATAGTACTATGCGGGTGACAACACAACAGAAGCTACATTTTAAGAAACTTCTATCTCTAATGAAAATGTGTCTGGTTGTTGTTTTATCTGCTGAAAACAATGACGACTGAGAGGAAGCAATGGAATTTACTCTATAGCTCTAAACAAATACGGAAAGCTAAAGAGGAAACTATACGTTTGTTCCTACAACACAGAGTTTGACACCTCAGCGGTCTCACATAGGTGGCCAGGTAAGATGGAAATATGGTGGCTTTCAGAATACTTTTCTTTGTTCTGCTTTTGCATTTTATATAGCAATGTATCTCCTGTAAACAGATAGCATCACTTTACAATCTTAACATTATTGAGTGCACTCTGTCATGTTCAGGGTATCTTTGTCTTAGCCCACAAATTTGCAACAACATTTCAATATGACTGAATGTGAATGAATACTTTTATTTTACTTCCCAACTGTGAAATGTCATTTTCACTCTGATTGTTTGTACAGTAGGAGCTCGTCGCAGTCACTACGAGACATGATTGTCATCGAACAATGCTGTCAAACTGGTTTAGTCACATTTATTTAAGTCAGAACACAAACGTCAGGTGTGACTTTGCGTTTTGTTTCTGTACAAATGTTTTTTGTTTTTTTTTCCACATGCTGTGTTTTACTTTTTAACTCGTGCAAATATTCCGTAGTAGATTTATAAGTTATAAACCATAAAGGTCTTGGATGATCCAGCACTGCTGGATGTTTGTCTGGTCTTGGTGTAGATATCTTAACGCCACCCTATCACTGTGGTGACTTTTGCTCCAGTTAAACATGTTTGGTAAAACTGGCCTTTGAAGGTAAGAAACAACAAGAAAATCTGATGAACATATGTTCAATTTGAAAGAAAAATATAAAATTTATCTTATAAATGTCTTAAAATAACCTCAGTTCTCCAAAAACCAAACATTCAATCCTGTTAAAGATTATAACTCATTAGTTGATGGTTATCTACTTGAGTCTTTATTATGTATTTAAAAAAATAATAAATGAATAAATAAATGACATTATTTTGTATTTAAACATGGGGATGGGTCTTGTACAGACACATTCAATAAATGTAAATATTATTGAAAAAACCATTTGTTTTAAGGATGTCGTCACTAAGTGAAACACGTTATATAGATTCATATAAGAACTATATATACACATATTCTTTTTCTATAAAGGCTGTTTAAATGTTTACTTCTGTCAGTTATCATGAAAATTAGAATAATTCATCAGACCAATAAAAAACTTATTATACCTTTAATCTGACAAATGAGATTCATTGGGCGTACATTCTAATTATTGAATATGATTGAAGAGGTTTCCTATTGTAACCTGATCCATGAGCTTATCTGTCAATATATAAACACGTTCTGGTGGAAGGAAAATGGGTGTAACATCTAGATATTACACAAAGGGCCTTTCCATGTGTGTTTCTTCTTCTCCCCTTTATCGTCATTTTTTTATCTTGTAACTGTGTTTTAGTTTTGTTCTCCTGATCCGTACTGTTACTAAGGTGAACGTTGGAAATGTTTCACAGAAATTTGAAAGGTTGCGACATAAAGTGGTGGAGGTCGTCTTGTTTGCAAAACGCTTCTCTGTCAACCGTTAGGCTCAAGATATTGCTGTATTACCGTATTATTTATTGTGTCATGTATTCATGTTTCTGAATGCAATTATTTCTATATTCTTTTGAGACTTCAGATTTACAGAAAATGACTTTATTTAAAGGTTTATTAATTGATTTTAGGCATGTGCAAGTGTGTGTTGCATCATGTAACAAACTCCATCATTAGGCTGACATAAAGGCAGTGGTCTTTTGCTGCTGGACACTGGAAATGTTTCTAGCTGATCTCTGTGCTGAAATGTCTGTTGTATAATCTTCCTGTTTTCCACAGGATGACAACCAACTACACGGACATTAGTCCCTGTGCTCCAGATGACAGGCTCTGTTGTAAGTAATAAAAACTGCATCTTCACTATACTTAACATTTTCAAAGCTTTATCTCATGTATGCCATTTCCACTCCGATTGTTTAAAATTCATACTTATCTTCCTGTTTTACCCTGAAAAAAAAAGGCCAAAATATAACATTTTGTAAACTTCAGTTCAGATTTTCATTCTGGTTATGAGCTATTTTAAATGTGATTGTTGCACATTATGCTGAAGCTAACCTAAACTGCTGAATAAAACATTAGCTCAATTTGGCTGTAAATGAAGTACTTGCATTGCAAGTGACATTATTATACTTTTATATGTTTATAGAGATTTATTTGATTACTGACTTTCAAATGTGAATTATGCAGAATTAGTCTAAATTGTCTAATTTAGACTAGATAATTTCTGAGATGAAAATAGATTGAAACTATTCACAACGATGGAGAAATGACAAAAATACACCAGAAACTCCAAAGGCTGTCAATGCAGCAACTGCCTGAAAATCCAAGACACATTCATTATCTTTTCTTTTTTTTTTTTTTAAAGCCTACATGTTTCAACCAACAACAGCTAACATTTATATAAGCAATGACTGTGGGACCCAAATACAGGCATTGAGTGAGACAGAGATGAATGGGGGGAAAAAATGTTTAATACATTATACTAAAACTTATAAGGAAAAAACTCTAAAGTCTCAAATTCTAAAAACCCCAAACAAAGTGCAGGAAATGAAACATGAAAATTCACAAACAGAAAGCAGACAATGGAGGAGAGCAGATAAACCAGCAGTGACTGAAAAAACTAAAGGGGAATGATTCAGAACAATGATTAAAGGTGATTAGTGCAACAAGAGACAGTAATCAACCACAGTAAGTTTAGATAAAGAAAAAGTAGATACGTTATTGGGTTATTAAATAAATTTTGCTCCAAACCAGAAAACAGTGAGGACGGGGAATGAAATGGAGTAAGGAAGCAACGTATTTTCTTCTCTATGTCTAGATCTTATAAATGTCTAGAAAGCATTCACCGATCAAATGTATGTGGAAAGAAAGTCTCAGGTTTGCCTTTCAATGTGATTCTAGTTAGTTAGCAACTGGTTTTACCTCTTTGTCCTATGAAACATTAATTTAAAAAACTATATATCCATAGATTCAAGATGAGCAGAGAGCAGGAGAATGCTGGAAATCCTTGTTGATCAAAGGTCTGCTCTTGAAAGTTCAAGCCAAGCCTTTAATGAGAATGTCACTGAATGATTTACATCATTCCACAAAGTTCACACCACTCCTTAAAATGTGCCAGAACCAGAATGGGATTTGTTCAACTTCAACAGTAGCTTTACATTCTTCATCAAGAAGACAGCTGAGCCTTGTGTTAAACAGCAGAGGGTGTGTAAATCCATGGATTTGAGAGACAATACGAGAATTGACATAGAATCAGCCTCAAACACCAAATGGTTAAAGGGTGGAGAAAGGAATCAATATGGAGGTCAGAGAGCAACTGAAGGGACAGAAACGGGCAAAAGCCCCAAAAAATTAATGAACAAGGAATTTAAAAAAAGAAACACATATAAAGACTTCCAGGGTTATTATGAAGTTTGCTGTAAAATCTATAAAATCTAGTTGTTGTTTTTTTTATCTTTTAAGTGGTTACCATTCCACACAGTGTGAACATTATAATCTTTGGTGGGAAGAGAAGACAACAATGTCAAGACAGAAATTCCCGTCAGCATGAGAAAACACAGCAGAACGGAATGAAATAGGACTAAAAATTTTAAAAGCTTTGCATTTTCTTGGACTTCATGCTAACACATGTTCCTTTATCTTTTTTCTCACAGTAACACGAGAATATCAGCTTGGAGTGATTGTCGTCCCTTCGTTGTTGGTCTCGCTCACCTTGATCACATTATTGATCATTTTTATATTACTGTTCTGTAATCAGAGTGAGCGGACACGAGTCAGAACTCCTACTCGATACCACAATCACCAGCACACCACAAACCAGAGACACACACAGCGAAACCACCATCACCACCACGACAACAACCGTCACCCCCACCACAGGCACCACCTTCAGGGAATAGATGGTACGCTAATTTTGGTCTACTCTTTCTGTGAAATACTAATCAAACAGATGATTTATTCTGTATTTTTTCTCTCAAAAAGCGCCCCCAGGGATTGACCCTCTTGAACATGAAGATGTGCCAATGAGAGTTCAAAACACACATCACAATGCGAAGCCACAACATGAATCCCCAGAGAGGCACGGGACTGCAGCACCACATAGAACTAGAGACAGACATGCAGCTGCAACCAGGCATCGCTCTCCAGAAAGACATGCAACAAGGCATCGCTCTCCAGAAAGACATGCAACAAGGCATCGCTCTCCAGAAAGACATGCAACAAGGCATCACTCTCCAGAAAGACATGCAACAAGGCATCACTCTCCAGAGAGACAAGTGACTGCAGAACCACAGACATCCACAAGGAGGCCTCTTGGAAACTTTAGTGATGTCACTGCATTGACACCATCTTTCTACACCAAACCTAATGACACAGTAAGCTTCTACAGAGCTCGCATGGACAACAAGGATGTCATCCTGAGAGCACTAAAAGGTAAACATAGTTTTTTGTTTGTTTGTTTGTTTTTTGTTTTTCAAATACTGACAAAAAAATTTGGAAAATCAAAGATTAATTTAAATTTCTTAGAAAATGAAAGCTCCAAAGCTGCAAGATTTTAGCACTTGCTGCTAAATATATATATATATATATATATATATATATTTTTTTTTTTTTTTTTAAATCAGTTCTCTTATCCTCATTTTTCCTCAGAAAATGCGAGTAACCGTGAGAAACAGCACTTTCTGGGGTTTGCATCCTTCCTGGGAGGACTGGGCCCTCACCCTTTTATTCCTGCTCTACTGGGCGTGGTTTCTGTACGGTCGCCGTTGGTGATAGTGCTGGAGGAGCTGAGGCACAGAGACCTACTGGGGTTCCTGTGGAAGTGCAGAGAGGTAGAGTACAATCGTTCTTCTCAGAAACATTGATAATATTGTCACATGTGGGTTTAGACTCATGTTTAAATAAAAACAGCATCACTTGCGATTCGTTTGAGAAGGTGTAATAATATCTGTAATAAATCAGCCACCAGCTACAAAACACAACCAACAAAAAAGTTATTTTTTTCTGTTTTGTTCAAGGTCTATTTTAATTATTTAGAAAATAATGATTTCCACTTATTAACACAAAGCAGATATTTTTCCAGTTTTAGTTTTTTTCACTGTATTAAACTCTTGAGTTTTTTTGTTTAGCTTTGTTCATGCCCTCTAAAGGAACGACTGATGTCATTATGTTCTGACCATTTCTTTAACTAGCAGAGGTTAATTTAAATTATCTTAAAATTATGAATGTGTCAACATAACTTTTGAGCTATGAACGTTTTTCTTAGTATTGTGCAATTCTTGAGTTGGTCAACATGTCCTTACGTAACCACCACCGGGTGCCCAATAATCTTAATTTTGGCCCTAATGTCGCACCATATTAAATGAATTCTGGGCCTTTTGGAGACTTTCAGTTTGCTTAGACCTCAAAACATGCATTGAAACATGGAAGCCCCTAACTTCCCTCACTTTTCCCCCACTAAAGGATAACACAAGTCATGAACTGACAGAAAAGAGGATCTTCACCATGGCAGGACAAGTGGCCTCTGCTCTGGTTAGTTGAACTGCGGTCTTTCTTATTATGTTCTCATTTCTGAAATTTCTACTACTCTACCATTTACTTTTGACTTATATCCAACCTATGTCATCTTTTTCATCCTAGGATTACCTGCACAGTCAGGGATCTATCCACGGGAACATCGGAGCTCGCAGCGTTCTGGTTGGTGGCGACTTGACGGCCAAACTGTGGGGATTGGGCCCAGCTTATCACAGAACACAGGTCGACACTGCTGGGCTGGTGGAGGAAATGGAGCTGAAGAAATGGCAGGCACCTGAAGTTCTGGCCAGGAGAACGGCCAGTAACAGCAGCGACGTGTAAGTGTTTAAGTTCCCTATAAGAAACACAACGATAGGAACGTGTTACTGACCGGAGAGAATGGATCTGGATGTTGTATGTCAGGATTTGGCATTACCAAATATATCAGAATGATTCACTTCAATGTAAATCTGCTGCATTCAGACATTTTTGTTGCACATCTGGACTTTGCAAATGCTGTAGCTTAACCTGGTAAAAACTTAAGTGACCTAAAGTTACCTTTCAAATATTTTCACAGATGGTCATTTGGTGTCCTCCTTTATGAAATGGTCTCATTGGGTGAGTACTCCACAAGCACTATTGAGAAAGAATTTCAAAATATCCTCAATTCTTACTGGGTTTAGATTTTTTTTCCATATTATGGATTTTGTGTCACAACTTGTCATCTCTTCCACTTTCTTAAATCATATAGCTATATAAAGTTTAGATTTGAACAACAAAGGTGAGGAAACTACACATATACAAATAAGAAAATTGCACATTCTACATGTTTCTTTTTTTTTTACAGGGCAGTAAAAATGTCTAAAATTGATAAAAAATGATTTATCTCCTTAGCAAGTCAACAGATTTAGTAATATTTTAACACCAGTCATGCAAATGCATTAATTAAACGATTATAAACAAATAGGCAGTAAGTCATAAAATAATAAATGAAAACTTCTCTGCTTTTAGGTGACCCACCTTTTGCTCACATCATGTCGACTGAACTCCTGCAGTATCTCCAAAGAGGAAAAACTTTGAAACGACCAACCAACTGCTCCAACACACTGTAAGAACGGCCGCAGAAAACAGGCTTTATGCAGAAACACATTACCATGATCCCATGTCTACACATGAAGGCTAAAAAGTGCAGTAGCTGGTCAGAAATTTTTTTTATAAACTTACGTTGATAGAGAAAAATGAGTATAGATTTCATTTTTTCAGTTTAGATCTAAAACTGTATTTTTTACAGATTTACAGAAACACATTTTTTGTGTTTCTGTGGTTATTCTGTTTCTGAAAACATTTGGAGTATATTATTGAATTTTAGTCTAAGAAAGGGTACTTAATGACCTGATTTACAGAAGCAAATTACAAAATCTTGATCATATCAGTTTTATCTCAAAATAGCCAAAGACTTAAATTACCGGATCTCAAACTGAAAAAAAAACAGCAGATCATATGTGGAAAATATTTGTTGATACAAATAAACATACAGAAATTACTTTAAGCTTTTCACAGGAATTACCAAACATGTTATTAGTAACATATTTACAGTGCCCTGCTCTCATAAAACATGTACCGTATTTTCCGCACTATAAGACGCACCTAAAAACCTTCAATTTCCTCAAAAGCCGACAGTGCGCCTTATAATCCGGTGCGCCTTATATATGGACCAATATTCAGCCACAACAGGTCCAGCAACGGACTATACCACAGGGGCCGCGTTTCATTGGCTAATGCCCATTTTAGGTCACAGTGCAGCTACCACGTGCGTGACCGTCTCACAAACACAAGTTACAGTACTAAACATATGCTAATGTACATTGTGGACCATCAAAACCATGAATGCCGACTTACCCAGCCTTGCAAGAACAATAGGCATCAGTGATCTTGTCCACAGCTATATGCTGAGGGTGTGAGGATCTGCTGTTTTCCTCATCTATCGGTAGCTTTTAGCTGTGACGCGCACAATGTTAGAGGCATCCCGTGGCTCAAACACCTTGATGTCGTCCAAAAAAGATGATATGAACTTGTTGGTTCCCCTGTCCATTGTCGTGGCTGATATGTTGTGAAAATCCGGCAGAAATGCTACGCTAATTAACTCAGATCGAAATGAAAGACGTCATGTTTACACAGACATGCAGTAGGTTGCTTACGTAGTTGGTCCACTACGGTAAGCAGCCGCCAACTTCTTTTTCCCCGTAGAAGAAGAAGTGCGCGGTGCATGCTGGGATAGTTGTCAGAACACGGTTTTGTTAATAAATTTTGATAATACATTTAAAGGGGGGGAGGGGCAGGGGAAGAGAGACAGAGACTCTCTGCAGCATGTCGGTTGGTCTGTGTTACCCAGAAAGCAGTTGGGCATAATATCGCAACACCGTGAGTGAAACAACGACTGGGCCAGCCTACTATATAAAGTACTCGGGGACCAGTTCTTTATAAATGTGGATGTGTAATAATAGAGTATGACGCCTCTATTCTATTCGCCTTATAATCCGGTGCGCCTTATAGTGCGGAAAATACGGTAGTTTATCCCTCCTGTGGCAAACTCATGTTTTTCTGCAGCTGCTTAAGTAAATTGCAAATATAACATGTTTGCGTTTTTCACTCTTTAACTGTGTTTGTAGGTACTCCATGATGAAATCGTGCTGCAGCTGGAGCCCCCAAGGACGTCCCTCGGTCACCGGACTGATTAGGATGCTTCATACAGGAGAGCAATCGGCAAATGGGAGCACAGCTCTAAGAGCGCCTGAGCCACTGAACTTGGAAAGATACATGAGGGAGGCGGGATATGGAGAGGCGTTGAACTACGCTGTGTTCTGATTGGCTGGAACTGCTGTGACAAAGGACTCTATTGGAGCAATTATTCACAGTCCAGCGAAACTAATTCCTTAAAGTACCAAGTACTGCTGCAGGAGCACAAAATGTGCCAATTACATTGTTTGTTTAGAAAACATATTTTTATATTTATAAGTAGTTTTGGAACAAAAAATATGAAGCACAACCATGTAGTATGTTTTAGGTAACTTATTCTTTTTAAAATATTTTGGTAAATAATACCTTGGTCGTCTTGGACGTAATAAATAAAGCACTTAAAACATAAAGTCAGTCCTGTCTTTTTTTTAAAGACATACCAAAAAGTATTGCTTATTTTATTAATTCGATCCATATCACCACAAAGAAATAAGATGCAGGGTTTATGTGCAGTGCTCAAACAAATAAATTATGACTTCATAAACATACAGTAGTATTTAATAGATTTTTTATTGTCTGGAGAATATTGATAAAACCTAGTCTCTGTTTCACCAAGAAGAAATCAAACAAATTTTGGTAGAGTAACAGCACCTGACGAATGTCTTGACTTTCGAGGAAGTGGAAAAGTTGTCAAAGAAATGTGCAGTCTCCATGGTAACCAAATGTTGCACTGGCCAATTGGTAGTCTTTAACGCCATTACTACTGCATCTGGTTATGAATCAGAGATTTACCACAGCGTTGGGATATCTCACAGCAAACTCATCAGTTCAGCTATTAGCTGCAAGCTCGCAAGAAAATCTAGATGGAACTAGAGAAGTTTCTATAAAAACAGTCAGAAACAAAAACACAGCCATCTTTCTTGGTTACTGGTATTCTTGCTGCATCCCAAAAAGTAACATTTTTGAGAAATTACATTTAAAAAATGCTAGTGATTGAATAAAGAGTGATTACAGGGTTTAAATCTGGTCAGTTTGATGGATGACCAGAGTGACAACATTAAATCAGATGTCACCATCCTTAGTGGTGCTGCTAGGTGTCAAGTCCTGCTGGGAAATTAATCTACCAACAATGTAAGAAGAAACATGAACAATGTTTATCTACAATAAGTAATAGATTCTGTAGAATTGTGAATGATAGTACAATGTTTGCATTGCTGTTATGTCACTTGACTCACACAAGTCGAAGAAAAGATGATAAAATAAAATTGATGCCCATTCCGGGGAAACGTACTTCATAAATGCCACACAAAATTCAAGACCTCCCTGCAGTCCAATATGGAATTATGAACTCTAAGCCAGTGGATGGAGAGGTGGAGCTATATTATAAAAAAAACTGTCTGAATAAAAATCAAGACTCCGGAATCAAAGTTCTACAACAGTTTCTTGATTATTTATTTGCATTATAGTATCAATCATTCTTCGTCAAACACACTCCTTCACGATTTTGCAGTTTTTCTGATTATTGCAAATGAAAGATTTGCAGAATCTTCAGTAATTTAGGGATGAAAGGTGCTGCTTGTTTGGGCAAATGTAGATCAAATGAACAAATCTGCATGGATGCACCTAATAAAAACATTACACAGGAACTAACAGGCTCACAACACAGTCAATGAGTCCTTTTAATCCAACTTTACACGTGGAAGGACCTGCAAATTTAAATACTTCAGAATCCTGGGAAAACTGAAAAAAAAACCACACATCAAGGATTATCCCTTCTTGAACGAAAGCAGCCACAACCAGTCACAATGAAGCCAAAAATAGCTAGCTACAAAGGTAAATATTGGTGGTAAGTACACAATATATGACAAAGCTATGAGGAAGACAGAGAAGTTTCCTTGATCAATGTAGCTACTATTTCAGTCACACTTTGGGAAAAAGCAATGGACGTCATTGCTTGAAAGAAGACGTTTTTAAAAATTACGGATGTTCGTAGAAAAGAAGGAATGATATGAAAAGTCTTCGTCTAAATCTAGTGTAGAGGCTAGTAAGAAAGGCCACGATAGAACATGAGAAAACTTGGACATAAAAAAAGGCTCAAACTAAAAAGTCGAGCAAACAAATGTGCAATTAAATATAAAGGCAATTTTTTACACTTACTACAGTATAGCTTAAGGTTTTCTTATTCACACAGTCATTCAGTCTGATGTAACTGTTTGCTAGTCTGTGACAAATGTAGGTCCACATTTCCCATTTCCTCAAGACGGTTCACAACAACTCAGCTTAGAGATATCTTATCAGCTGGCATTTAGCATTGTTTGCTGCTCATTTTTATTTCACATTTCAGACAGCATTTCCTACAAGCTTCTGTTTACACAGTTTAAATAATAAAATAAAAAAAACAGTAGGTCTCCTTAAATAAAGCTTAATGAGACAAGGTGAAAAACTCAGGTTTTTTGCATGTTTTTCATTTCAGACTTCAATGCGTTTACAAACTCAAGATTTTTCTGGACTTTTGAGTTAAAAAAATAACTAGTTGGGTTAAATTTTCTGTATTAAGAAAAATAATCATGTACCAATATTATGCTAAGGTTGGTTTCTGATCTAGAGGTGTGGCAAAGAGCAATCATCCATATATTTATTTATTTTTTTGGCAAGTTAAATCAACTCTGACATTTTTAACACTTTGTTTTGGTAAATCTGCACTGGTTTATCCTTCTGTAAATACAGCCTCTTTAAAGCAGAGTTTGTAAAGTTGAAACGTCTGTTCTGTGAGAGGTTTCAGTGTTCGGTTTGACGCCTTAACAAGACTCAGTGTTAACAACACACAGGTCCACAGCGTCCAGATGCAAAAAATAATTGAAATGGCCCTTTTGAATTTGTGTGTTATGTCAGCTAGGAACTCTAAACCAAACCAAAAACTAAGTTTGTCAAAAAAAAAAAAAATCACTTTAAGGTGTAGAAATTCTAAGATTTAAAATATTTTAATTTAAATATAAATGAAGGTAAGTATTCACGGTTTAGAGATAAGGATTGTTAGATGTTATGTCTTGAAATTCAAATCTTTTTTCATATTGTGTTTTCTGGAAAATGATCAAAGCAAATTCCATCTTTTTCTCAGGCTGCAAAGAAATCCTAAAGATTTGCTGCTGTCATGTTTGTCTACTTTACATCATGTAAAATAAACCCCTAGGATGTTCAAGTCTTCTCTACATGTGATTTACTCCCAGAACCGTCACCGTTTTGGGTTTCATTTGGAGTCTTGTCTGGCATTTCAGCTTTTCGTACCCTGTTCTCTTTCTGTACCCTGTTAGCTAGAGGGAACCCATCAAAAAAGGCCAGCATTTAAACATGATGATGGTCATTCCTACTGAGTAACAGCTCAGTATACAAACACTGATCCAAATAAACATTTTTCCGCACAAAGACCCACAAGGAGCCATTTTAGAGTTCAGAGCTTCCTTCCAAATCAACAATAGCTGTCTCTGCAACCATTTTTCATTTCACAAATAAATCAACGTGATCTAGAAAAACTCAATTTCACAAGTATATGAAATATGACAGCCCCCACCTTTCAAAAAGAGGAGTTATTTTCCTACATGTTGGGGAAAAAATGTTTCAGCCATTTGTTTCTGAAGTGCAAAACAATAAGAAAATAAAATCTTCATTTATGTGTTGTATGGAGCGACTTTGGGCAGCAATCAGTACCTTCACCAAAAATCTTCATCCAACACAGTTTTTAGATAAATTACCAAGCAGATATTCCTTTCAATCTTCGCAAATATGAGAGAAATCCGACAACAAGCTTCAATTCTGAAGCACTCGATTCAAGTGGAGAGTCTGTTTTGAAACCTTAATGAACCTCATTTACATTCACCTGGAGGTCCTCCCTTCCCCCTTTCAACAGCTCCGCATCTGATCCTGGTCCAGGATCTCGACCGTTAGTCCCTCAGATTGTTGATGTGAGCACAGATCTTCAGGGCTGGGCCCAGTTTGATGTTCATGGTGGACATGAGATGCTCCTCCTTCAGCAGGAGCAAAGCCTGTCCGTCAATTTCCTGTGACAAGAACTGGGAAGCGAGCTCCTCGCAGCCTGAGAGCAACAGCAACACAAGCAAAGTAGGAAGGAAGGACAGAAAACTGTGTCTTAACAGAACTTATTCAAACTGTAGAAACACCAACACAGAAAAGTAAACCACTTAATTACTGTTGAGAGATTAGTTTCTATTGTTTATCTGGAGTTACGGTAGTTTGGTTTCATGACCCCTGAGGGAGCACCAGGAAACTATACATAAAAATGAGTTCGAATAAGAAGCAGGTTAAGTTGTTACCTTATGCGTTAGCTAAATAAAAGAAGTACGGTTTTCCACTGACGATTACCTCTCGTTTATTCCCTCATATCATGACAATTACCTTCCTGTTTGACACAATTTAATGAGCTAACTCCAAATTTAGAAGCAACTGATATCAATTTTAAAAGTAGGCAACTATTAACTCAAATAACAAAGTTGATTCTTCAATTTAACTGAAGTGGATGAGTAAAGAGAAAGTAAAAAGGTGGAAGACAGAAGTCGGATCTTCCAACCTTGTAGCGAAGAAATGAACTGCGACACTTCCTCCACTGTCCACTGGGCGGGGCTGGTAGGCAGGCAGGTGGGTGCTGAGCTCTCGGTCGCAGGCGGTGGAGGCGGCTGGTGGCAGGAAGCTGAAGAAGCAGGTGACAGAGACATGGCGTCTTCTTCGTCCTCCTGTCCACTGGACTCCTCGTCTGAATGGCTGGACTCTGAGCGGCACTGAGGGTGGAAGAGGAGAGTTACTGGACAATTCATAATGCAGAAACTGTAGAATTATTGAACAAAATCTTAAATGACATCCGCTAACATTTGGTGCCACATTCAGCTAAAAACGTTTGGTGTAAACACATTTGAAAGCCTCGTGCTTTATTACAGAGCCAGTGTTGACCTAAAATATGCCTGATTTTTTTTTATTCTACGTGTTTCCCAACAGGCTCCTACTGTTATTCATAGGAGATGCTAGAAGTGAATTTATAAAAAAAAAAACCTAACTATTTCAATTTCAGTGTTTAACGTATCAGAATCATATACTCAACATTTTTGAATGTAATCTAAAGAATACAAAAATATACAACAGATTCAATTTTTTTTAAAAAATGTAGCTGAAGCTGGAAAAGTTCTGTGTGAAATATTAAGTACACTGCAATCATTTACTAGCTTGAAAAAAACACAGCAGGTAGCAAAATCTTACATAGCCAATTATTGGTCAATTACATAGTTAATTATAAAAGTATCTAACTTCAGACTGTGCTACCCATCTTCTTTCATTTTTCATATTTATAGAAAAAGTTCACTTCATTCTAAACTAATCTCTCTTGTAACAGAGGAATAATTTTGTTCTAAAATCTGAAAATAGAAATATATTTTGGTTTAATTTTGTTAGCTTTCATAATAAAACATTGTATGTAGTACAAACTTAGAAAATTGTTGCAGCGTGGCTCTTTGAATGGAAAAGGCTGCTGAGCCCTGCTTCACAGAAACATAGAGCAACAACTGATTGTCTGCTGACGCCTTCCCATCGTGGCGTTGCCTCAACACAAACATCTACGTTCTACAGCAACAAACTAACAAAACTGCTGCTTGCCACACCTATAATGATTATCCTAAAACATTTGAATAGTAGCACCATACTCACAGACCTAATCAGAATTTGCATACATTCACTTCACTTTTTTACTGTTTACTTATTTAAACTTTCTTTGTCCTGTATCTGTATGCAACAAGTCCACAACAGCAGAACACCAATCACAATCTGGAGGAAATGTGGTTTTGGATGAATCCCCGAAAGTAGTAGTAAAGCTATAAAACCACTCTAACCAGATAAAAACAGCCCATCTACCAGAAAATGTTGCACGAATAAAGACTAAAGTGGCACAATTTAAGAAAAGAGGCATCTCTAAATACACTTTTAAGACAGTCTAATGTAAATAAAAGTAAAGGATTACAAAATCTGAAATGTGGTGGTGTTATTGTGGCCACTAGATGGCACCAAACCTCAACCAACTCATGTCAGATGGCACCAAATTCAGTTTGATGGTTCATTTTTCATTGTTACAGAAACCGCTTTGATTAAATTTACCCTTAAAATCATTTGTTATTCCATTTTACATAGAAAGGAATGACAAAAACCTGCTTATTAATACCTATTTTTGATTATTTAATAAAGTTTTAGAACTTTTCTCTCACCTTTGCAGGTACCGGTCTTCCTGCGATCTTTGCACTGGCTATTTCTGAGCTAGTCCTACGAGGAACCCTCCGCCTTGCAATCCCTCCTTCCTCATCCGAGTTAGAGAAGTGACCCTGGCCCTGGCCCTGGTCCCGGTCCCGGTCTGTGGCGTGGTCCTGATCCTGACGCTGGCTGTGACTGTGTCGCATCCCAAACTTCTGCCTGAAGCTGACGTTGTACCTGGGGAACCAATACATACTGTATCGTAGACAAAGAGTGACATATACGGTACTGAAGCCGGGACGAGCAACACACAGTTTTTGTCTCTTTGGGCCGTGTGCGGTATAGAAGTTATACACACGCATCGGGCAAGGAGACAAATGCAAAGCAGAAGCAAATTAATTTCAAACTCATATGCTGGCAAAATACTGTTCCAAACAATGCAAAACATGCATTGTTTATATTGTGAAACATAATGTAATAAATACAATATAAAAATCACAAAATGATGCCAGTTCAATAGAAATTCCAGAAGACAAACATTTCCAAGCCAGATAGGAATTGCAACATGAATGAAGTTGGGCTGTAACAATATTTAAACATAAAAAACAAATTTAAGCAGCACAGAAAACACACATGCTGTGAACATACAGCTGAAGCCACACGATAATTCATGAGAATCCTCTGTGGATTCATTCTGATTATGATTAATCTCTGAGTTATGTAAGGCATGTTGCTATAAAATGTACACCCCTTGAACTTTTCCACAATTTTTTTAACTATAACTTACATTTTTA